ATTTCAGGCTAGGCTATGGGTCTAGGCTGAAATTCAAAGCCGCGTTATCAAGCCGGGCACTCCATCGAAGCAAAAGTGGTTATGGTGTTGATAACGCTTTCTTTGTGCCAATCTTGGCAGAATTACTGTTGCTTCCCTCTCGATGCCCTCGCTAATCTTGATGCAAGATCGAACCTACCAGCGTATTGAGATAAGTACATAAAAAGTCAGGTGTGCCTGTTATTGCCTGGGATGACCGCGCTTCATTCTCTTTGGAGAGGGCGGATTTCATTGGCTGGACAGGAGCCCCATAGTAGCCTTCTCGGTCTACTTTTTGTGGAGGTGGAGAAGACAAGTATTCTAGATATCTGCCAGTAGCCCGTTATGACCGGGCACGGATAAGGACCTTCACCTCCTGTAAGATTAACACAAGTCCTGAACCCAGCTCGGACAAACGTTATCACTTTCGTACTGAGGCCGTTCGTCCATTACCTACAACTGGGAGGATGATAATGACTATGCTCAGGTGTGCTTAAATCCTTATGCGGTCAACATCCTCGTACACATTGGGAAGGTGAACCTTACCAGCAACCAATGATGAGTTCTATTTGAGTGTATGCATGAGTGATATTTATCATTTTATCATTTTATAAATTTTACGCGAGAGTGTTTACTCGCTTCGGTGTCAGCCTTCCTACCTCATTCTGGCCACTCCTGCCAACTTCATCCAGGCAAAAATATTTATCGGATTATGCTACCGCCGTATTATAGGAACCGACAAAAGAACGGGAAGTCATTGCATCTCCACCTAGGTACGTCATGCTTTTTAAAGGGATGTCGCTAAATGCTCCTATCTGCAGCAATGGGTAGCAAACTAACCATGGCCTTGAGAGACACCCAGGCTGCACGGGATCAAAAGTGATCTCTATCGTTTTAAGAAGACCTACTGATGAGTATTGCATGTTTTCCAATTAGGCCTATTGAATTTATAGGCGATTTTTTCTACAGACCACAATTGGTACTAGCCGCTAGTTATGAGGAAAAATCTGCCACCGGTACAACTCTAATTATTAGCGGTCTGTGCAAGCCACCGGCATAAAGGAGTTCGTGAATATGCGCGCATGCAGAGTGACGTCACAAGGATGCACATAAAAGGGGCCCTCGGGGAAGCTTTCGGCTCACTCCTTCCTCAGTAGTCGAGGCAGGACATTTCCTGTCTATTCCTCTTCGCTGTTCTCGCACACGTAACCTATCTTTGCGCTCTGCTTGTCTCCCCAACCCCCGGATAATATTATTTCTTATGTAGTCGACGTGTCCAAAGTTTTTCGACGTGTAGCCTGTTTTTTTCTCATCGATTGGTATTCCCTGAAAGATGTATCTATTCTGAAGGCAGATTTCTTGGAACACCATGGAAATGGTATCCGTCTAGATCATGTCATCGATGCCTTCGTTCCGGCATTTGAGAGGAAATCCCCTCATTCGCATTCATTGGCATTTCGGTACTTCATCGGGACACGGACATTCATGAGGATGAGGTTTCGAATGAGGAAACTGCTCATAGGCTTTGCAGGGACAGAGAAAGGCGTAAAGAAAATGATGTCAGCGATAGCTCCAAGACAAGTAGTTCCAAATTTCCTGACAGAAAAAATTATTCACGGTGACAGGGAACTGAAAATTCTCATGTAGACACGTCAACAGTCAAACCTTGCTTCGAAAAATCCCCGTCGCGCATGAGTACGTATAGACTTCTCACCCCAACTATCCATCCACGTAAGCACCGATTTTTAAAAGAAAAAATCAAACGAGGTGCAGGCAAAAGTAGTTTTTGTTCGATTTAATGTGTGGGAGTCCCAGAGGCCTTGTATACACAGAAAGCACCACTTCCAGCTGACCGTTAGCCCTAACCCCTCTCCTCCCCCTGCAGATACAGATCTACCTCAGATTTTATCCTAGCGAATCACCAAAGGTGATTGTTGCAGAATGCATATGATTTTTCAAATACTTCTATTTTCGGCTTCAATTCCTCTGCATCGTTTCAAGTGGTTAACAGTGGTTTTTGTATTTATTAACAAAACATTTAGAAGCTATTCTGGGAGATGGTGGTCGTCACATTTGACACTTCTAATTTGAACCTAAAAACGATCCTTGACACTGTTCCTATTTTTTAAATGGTATTTTATTTAGTATGGTAATATGGATACAGAGGAGTCGCTCACAAGCCATGTGCCACGTCGATAGCATGCAGCAGGAGCGCGAAGGAGAACGGATAGTGGGGCGTTGGAATTCGCGCTGTCCGTTTCTTCCGACAGCAGTACCGATGAAATGCAAAAGTTCCGCCGTCTCAAGTATGTACTTTTCGCAAAATCATTCTACTCGTTAAGTGAGCTTTCTGTTTCTGCTGTTGAAGTTTTGAGCGAAAGGACATTCTGTAATAGTTTTCCCTAGCCTGTTTAATTGATTTTTCATATTTTTTGCAAATTATTTAGTGCTGAGAATGCATATTCAGCATAGGCTGAAAAGTATTGGAACATTAGGTTCCCTTCATTTTGCTTTTTCTTAAAGTTTAAATGCGTTTTTCTTGCAAATTCCAGTATTTTAAGTTGAGGTTCCATCTCATGATTCTATACTCACCCATTTTCCCCTGTTATTTTTTTCGAATAACGCATGGATATTTGGTTAAATTAACATTCAGGTTTCCCAAATGCAAAGCATTGGAAAAATGGAATTATACATTTTCTTGTTCACAATTGATCAGAAAATGAGAAATGATTTACCTTCCAAAATATTCTCTACCTAACCCCCAAAATTAAGGCACTTCCATGAACCTAGGTGATAATCGATGTCATCTGGCAAAGCATTCGAGCATCTCCATCCGATTCAATAGAACGGACCATCGCGAGTTTTGGTGAAGGCGCATTGGGCAACACCTGTAGAGGACGTGGCAGAAGTCAGAGATGTGGCGCTTCAATTTCCAGAAGAAAACCGCGCGGTAAATGCGGCACATAGTTGTGGACTGGGCCGCATTGTGCGATTCATGCTACATCAATATTGTTACCAATGCTAAAGTAGTGCTTGACGAGGAGTCTTTTTATTCAAAGATAACTTATTCCTGGCCATTTCTGAAGGCATAATGAAAGATTGGCGAGATTGTTGTTTCTATACTCGTAGGCGAGTTAGGCGTAACAGCGCTCCCCGGATGGCATTCACTTATTGCAGACTCCCGGTGAATAGTTCTCGAATTATGAAGTCAGTTGATCTATTGAACGTTCGTAAGGTTTCTGTATTAGCGGAAGCACACTGCTACTTTGTCGTAATTACTGTAATTGGTTGGATTCCCCATCCAGAAGCAAGGTTAGTTGTGAGTACCATGTGATAACTCCTTGCGATTCTATGTCTCTTAAGAGATGACGCTGGGAATTAGTCACAGTGATTAATTTCCTTCAGAGACGGCGATGAAAAGGTGGTTTAGAAACCCTAAGCCCTGAATGGTGCTGACCCGTCACCCAGGTTTGTCCTTAGCCATGTAAGAGTACGAGCAGAGATTCCCTGTGACGATCCGGCTAATCCACAGCCCGCATAGACGCGTCTACGACGGTCGAGTGGAACCCCCGAGGGAGAGATCCCGAGCGATGCCGGCCCCTGGACATCAGGACTCCGCAGCGCCTTCGGATCCGGCAGAAGAATTGATCTTGCTAGTGGACGAGTGAGAAGGAACTAAAAAAACACCTGTTTCGTTGTCGTCGTATCCTCTTGTGATCTCATTTCCACCTGGACCCGACAACGGACTACGACACGAAATAGTCGTACCGTAACAATATAACGACTTAAGAGTGACGATCTTCACGACGCTGAAGATGCTCGGAAAAAGAAAGAGGGTGAATGAACGTGGGCTGACAGGCCCATGGGGTTTATATACCCAGGAGGCATCGCCTCCGGCCTAGCCACCCCTTCCCTGGAGATAGACATTGACTACGGAATTTTTTCCCCCTATTCCATCCCAGCGATAAGAATCAGGGAATTGCCAACCGTCACCCATCCCCCTTACGAGTTTTCATGATGTGCAAGCACCATATTCCCTTTCACTGTGGCTGTCAAGTATCCCTTCATAGTTCTGCCGGATTCAGTTTCTGTGTCCTCAGAGGACAAAATTTTGATCTAATTCAGCATCGAGAATCATAAAAAATTTCCTTGTAGTAACTGAAAGACGAACGATTTACTATTGTTCATCAACAGAAACAGAATTTTCAGCAAATGTCCAGTATCCGGTACTTAGCAAATTATAAGAACACGATTGTCTTGTTCTTTTCCTGAACTCAATTCCTGATCACAAATATGCACGAAAGCAAACATGTAATTGGTGTAAAATCATCACCTAGAAATGATGACGAACCATATTTTATTCTACTATGATACGAATCCTACGGTCTAGACACCCAGAAACCAGAGTCCACAAGCCCAAAAGTGTCGGACCAAGCTGTGCCATTCTCTAACGAAACTGGAAGAAACGTGAATAGCTGATTGATTGCACAACCCTGTGGAGGGGGACAAGTAGCTGTTGGATTGCATATTGAAGATAAAGTTGGACTACGAAGGCGTTTGCCCTAAGGGAACTGAATTAGTAGGCCTATGTTTAACCATCGGACAGATGCTCTGGCTAATAATATTGTCCCATTCGTATCCAGGAGCTTTTCGGCCTATATGACACGCCTGCTGCCTTAGCTGAGGCCTTTTGGCCTATGTCTTTCTCGGTCATGGGCTACATGGTACGCTTGTATATGCGAATGTGTTATATCGTATACATTCTAGTAGGGACATGGGTTAGGAAAATTTCCTCAGACGTTATTGGTCATAACCACTCTAAATCTACTTACGGTCGCTTAGGTCAAAGAAGAACAGGAATTGTTATGAGCTGCATTTACGGGATGATGTATTTTCTTCGGTGGGTTTCCAGGTTTTTATGGAGATGCATTTGAAAGATTCGTGGCGAGCATGGGGGAAAATCGGTTGTAACGTTTACAAAGATGGCAAAGTGAGAAAAAGATTCTCTGACACCTACATACAGTGAGTCCACAAAATTTCGATTATCTCTTATCACATATTAGGAGAGTTTTCTCATCGAAACTTTCGCATTGCATTTTTTTAATTATAGAAAATGCTGTTCATCACATGATATTTCATGAAATTACCGAATGCAACGATTTTTCAAGATGGGTTAAAGAGTGCATTGGTGGGATCGTGGAGATGGAAGCAACTTCTCGCGAAAGAATTATTTTGCTTCGGAAGAGAGGTCATCAATACATGGCTAACTTCCGGCAAAGTATACGCCTGGGCAGGTGCAGGGGATGGAATCGTGTCATTTTAAAATACTTTGAGACTATAGAGGCCAATTAGTAAGATCATTGCATATCCCTTCCTGAATTCCGTCTTACTCTTATGTAATTAAACAATTTCTTTCACAGTTATGGTGAAGATTGGGAGACAATCGAGGAGAAAGAAGGAGGAAAAAGTTACCATCATTCAACTTTTCTTTCATCAACATATCATATTTTGATATCATATTAGAAATACGTTGATTATTGACTGATTTTTCGAGAGATGCAAAGCCATGATCAAAGTAACCAGAGATGTGTTAAAACACATTCCATCTTTCACGTGGAGACACTCAGGTTTTCTCCTGCGAGAGTTTATACATGATTTGGATTCAATGAATCGTTACTTCGAGTTTCTTCCCTTTACTAGGATCATGTACATCATCAGGGTGCACTCTGCAGAAGAGCGAGATGATGCATTGGTGCTTTTATCGGTATTGGCTCATGTGAAATTGGAGGTAACATCTCCTCATACTATCGTGCTCAGACTCGAAGGAGAGAATCGACTCGGGAGGCAGACCATCGAGGAGAAACTCGGGTCGCTACGTTCGTCTGTGAGATGGTATCCAAACGAGACAGACGTTGAAAAATGTCTCAAGACGGAGGAAGTTCGAGCAAAATATGATGTCCAGTGGTAATACCATTTCCGTTTCTGATACAATATTTTTATCCCTGTATGCATTTATCATCAGAGGCACTGACCTTTTCCCATCCGTACAAGTTAATTAGCTCACTGAAAAAAATGTTTATATGTTCCTCGCTGAACAATACTCTCAACAACAGCTTTCCTCCTTTACAGAAACGATTGAAGCCGACCAGAATCATATTCCCTACCCTCTAGCCTGTTCCAACTGCAGAACTTCATATTGTGTGAAGATTTTTCCGCTCTCATCAACTCACGTTTAGATAGCTAACCTTCACATCACAATCATCATCCTCACTCAAGCCTTTCCCTTATTCTTAGTATATACCTCGTATATTGATGTAGAAATTGTTGATGTGTAATTTCTAATAAAGTTTCTCTATTTCCATCACTGCGCTTGTTGTATTCTTTGATTGGTTGCTCCCCTTCTGCACATGGCCGTGGGTGTAAGTGATAGGCAACCGTACCACTGGGTCTTTCATATATTTTCTTTCATAAAAACACACACACACACTTCCCATCCTAGACTCGTCCTTGACAGTGAAGGGCCGTTGTTGTAAAGATGTGCAACCTTTGAAATTGTTCAAAGACGTGCTGACCCCATCGTCTTTCTCAAAAAAGGTCATGGTGACAGTATGGTGGTCTGCAAAGGGAATCATACACTATTCTTTTTTCGCACGGCAACCCGGTAATAGGAAGGAACGGGAAAGTGTTCACAGGCCTATGAGAGGTGGTCTCATAGACCTATAGTAGGTGTTCACAAGACGTGCAATAGTCTCTCGAAGACCAGGGAGTAATCCTTATAGGCCCTGTTGGTCCGTAGGTTGAGGATTGAGTATCTTTTGAACGAAAAAAGATAGATCTAGGCCTGTATTTTTGAAGAAAGGGAATACCTTTGAAATTCTGTGTTCACATTACTACATTAACCCTATTTTTCATTGCCTGTCATTGACAACATATACTTGGACAGCTTTGAGCATTCAGCATCATACATTCTACAATTCTGGATTCTACAATTCGAAACGGAAATAGTAGTCTTTCCCTCGAAAGACCGTAACTTTCAAACGGACGGGGGGAATCTTGAGATCCGGAAAATTCTCCACCCTATTTGTGAAGTACCTGGCGGTTTTTCTTAAACGTATTTTTACGTTTTCCTCGTTAGAACCATGCACTAAGGAGGGGAACCATTTCCCCATCAGACGAAGAACCGGTTTTTCCGAACAGTAAAATTCCATACGAAATTTCCCAGTGGACTAGACAGATTCCCCTTCTCACCTGTAATTTTCATCTTGAAGTGCGAATATTCTTCATCATCAAAGCGAAAACCCTTCCTTCCGTTTCGTCATGGAAAAATATTCCGCCTAACGAGCGGGAAGAAACAAATGTTCTAGTGTGCTTGATTGATATACCACGAGAGGCGCTCCAAAACAGGGTTAGGGTATTTTCAAATCGCTGCCTTCAGCTCCATTGTACCAACGTAAAAAAAATAGATACCTCGTATATGAAACACTTTCGAATAGACAGGACAGACGAAAAGTGGAAAGATGCCCTACATGCATCAATCTGCTCCGCATCTATACCCCTTGAACGTGTTGTGCGGTTGCGCGCGTTTCAAGCTGTGCGTGGACTCACTCATTGTGACAGTGTCAGTACCTAGACAGTGACTACGGATGTGCCCGACTTTTCCATGAGGAGTTCCTTTTCTTTAGAGACATGGAGGACAACATCGATAAAGGAAGCAATATTCTGAAGAGGATAGCCTTCGGTGCAAGTCTCTTCAAATGAAAAGTTCCTTCCCCTAGCCGTGGACCAGTGGCGGATAAAGGAGGGGGCGACCGCCCCCTATGGCCAGGTTAGCATTAAATTTTATTGAAGCTAGTGAAATAGAAAGTTCTTACTCCAGACGCAAAATGAAAAAGGCGAAAGGACGAGGAAAGGTTCGGAACCCCCCTATGAAAATTTCCGTATACGTCCCTGCCCACTCAGAGAATTTCGTGGACCCAGTTACCGGTATGGATATACTGGGTGCCCAGTAGAAAACCAAAGGATTGCAATTAGCACGCCTTTAACAACGAAGTGATGTTTATATTATGCTGCTTGATTGCGATTTGTTGTTTTCATAAGCGAATGTAAATAATAAAATGTATATTTCTATTTCAGATTGGATTCATTACAACCCATGGCTCTTCGACTCCACGATTTTCAACGACAGGTAATAACACTATTCAAAGAAGAAAATCCTTTGGTTTTCTATTGGGCACCTTGTATATTCCTAGGGTGTATTTCGACCTGGAAGACCTTCGAAGAGCGCTAGTACTTTCCTTAGGTGCTAACACACGAAGAATGGAAAGCTCCTGGGTGGTCTGGGAGACACGAATAGCCCTTCAAAGCCACCTGGCGGAAGGTTGGTGGCGGACCATACACAAAAACGCACCATTTCTGGAACTCCTAGATGTAATGCGGGAACAATACCCCAACGAGGAGTATTTTATGTACTTTATATTGATAATTTTGACCATTTTTTCCTGACATTTCTTTTAACACTGTTTTGATACTTTTCATTTTTTTGGAATTTTAAGCTTCTGGACAATTTTCGCATTTTATCTTTTTTTTGCATCTTATCCCTCTTCCTGTGTTGGAACTCGATGATTTTGGGTGCCTTCTTTTAGTACCTTGTGAAACCCGAAACAAAACGTCTTATCTGTTCACGTGAGTCGACTACAATAACCTTTGCTATGACGGAAAGTCCTTTTAAATTGACTGAATTCTGTGAAGGATTCGAAACCCGATGAAACGGGAAAGTAATTTTATGGCGGGAATTAAAAGAAAATAAACATTTTCCTAAGATAGTAAGGGGGATATGGACCCCATTATTATCTCATGTTTTTCTTCATTCATAGTTCACACATTTTATGAAGACAGTAACATGAAAAAAAATATTTTTCATGCTACGTGCATATATACTGTACATGAATTTAATTAGCAATGTCTGGAATCCATCGAAGATGACAAACGCAACGGCAGGCCATGGACAAGCCGTGCAGAGGAAACTGAACCTTTCTGAACTATTCCAGCAATCACTTCTGGCAATCAAGCAGTACCAAGGGATTTCTAACCAACTGTGGCACGACATCCTTCACACTCACCAGACCTCGTGCTGCTTCCCAGAAGGCTGCCCCTTTGACGACACAAACGTTCTCCAGGCATTTTGGATCCTGTTTCAGAATCTGGTTCACCCTTCATGCATGGGACTAAGCTTTGACATGAAACTTTTTTCCTCCCACTTTTCCATAATCAGGTTGTTTATCCAAGGACCACACGAACTTCCCAGCGAGCAGGAGCATTGGCAGCAGTTCTGGCAGATAATATACCCCTAGATTCTGAGTGTAGTGCTTCATCTTTCTTTTGTTCCAACTGCAGAACTTCATATTGTGTGAAGATTTTTCCGCTCTCATCAACTCACGTTTAGATAGCTAACCTTCACATCACAATCATCATCCTCACTCAAGCCTTTCCCTTATTCTTAGTATATATCTCGTATATTGATGTAGAAATAGTTGATGTGTAATTTCTAATAAAGTTTCTCTATTTCCATCACTGCGCTTGTTGTATTCTTTGATTGGTTGCTCCCCTTCTACACATGTCCGTGGGTGTAAGTGATAGGGAACCGTACCTCTGGGTCTTTCATATATTTTCTTTCATAAAAACACACACACACTTCCCATCCTAGACTCGTCCTTGACAGTGAAGGGCCGTTGTTGTAAAGATGTGCAACCTTTGAAATTGTTCAAAGACTTGCTGACCTCATCGCCTTTGTAATGTACTTCCTTTCTCAACACGCACAATACTCCCATTCCCCATTTCAGGGGGTCCATGACCCTCAGGGGAGACCGCGATAAAGACGTCATCAACGTGTGCGAACACGCTGACGTAGCCAATTCGTTAAACATACCCTTTTGACTTAATCTCAACTCGTTATCGCCCTCGATCACAATAAACTCCCAATATTAAAATCGTTTCATATGGTTACATCGATAAAATAATACAAAACTTATTCCTCTCACGCTGGGAAGTAAATGTCAGCAATTGAAGGAGCAGTTCCATACAGTGGTTGTTTGGTTACTCTGGTAATGAACTAACATTATTTTTTATGTTCGCAGGATGGCTTTTACATCTTCCACCACCTACAATGTTCGACCAGATGCCCCGGCATCCTAACAAAATCCTGACACCCCATTTACCATTCTAAGATGATTCGAAACTTCTAGAGCAGGGGTGCAGAACTCAACTCAAAATCCTGGGGGCCGCAGTCTGGCTGACCGTAGCTGTAGCCATTGTAGCACTTACGATACCACCAGTCGCGGCGGGCCGCATGTTGTGCACACCTGACCTAGAGATCTCTTTCCCCACTATTCGCTCACGGAGATCGTTTTTGAGTCCTTTCGCTAAGCCTATGCCGAAAAAGTCATGGCCTTGTAGGCAACGAGCTTTAGGCTAAAGTAACCGAGGCTCAGGCCAGAGCGGCGGATCGATGGGGTAAAATTAGAAGGCTAAAGCGCAGAAAGCCATGTGTGCCGCAAGGACGAAGGAGATTGTAGAATTTACCCTTGAAACTCGTCTTTTTTTCCACTGTCCCATATATTCTTAATGAAATGGACATGTTTGGTCTTTGACTGACCAAACCCCAGTTCGAGCTTTTCCAACTCGGTTGAAAATAGTGTGGTACTATTTGTATTCTCAAAAAAAAAATTACAGACCAGAAATTTGCGTCCTTATTGTAATGCAGAATCAATACCTAGTGGCTTTGAGTGAGTCAATATCCCTGCAGTACAGAGCCATCCCAAATTGAAAATTATTAGGTTCTGATTAGCTCTATCTCCAGGCTCATGGGCTTGGACTTGGCAATTCCAGCTTTGCGGATTGTGACGCAGAACAGGAGCTTCGTTCTGATTGGCCGGGATGGTAGCCCAGAGCTACGTTCTGATTGGTAGGCAA